ATTTATTAATCCCATCCCATAAATAAGATCGTCCACATCCACATTCCAATGTCAGGAGCATACCTGATAGGCAATGTAGAGGGCCATAATTTTGTGGCTCAAATGGCTCAAAACTGCCAAAACAACGTCGTTTTGAGCACAAAACATGCCAAAACGACGTCGTTTTGGCAGTTTTGAGCCATTTGAGCCACACAAATTGTGGCTCTCAAACATTATTCTACCTAATAATACCCTGACAAAATAACCCAATTATTATTTATCAAAATTAGTATATGAAAAATAATTTAGAATGAATTAAATTTTAACCATTATATTAAAATATATATTGCAGTTGCTATGTCATTAACTGTATATTTTAAGTTCACAATAAGCAATAGATGTCGTAATTTAATTGATAAATATGAAAAAAATAGAATAAAATTAAAAAATTATATTTATGATAAAATAAAAATAATTTCATTTTATAAATTTTTTAGTTTTATTTTATTCTATGTTAAAATTTGTCATAAAATTTAAACATACCTTTTAGAAATAAAACAATACATATATTGATAAAATCGGTTAAAAGACTAACCACCTTATATAAAAATTAATTAATTAAAAAATTTAAATTTTATTTTATTTTAAAATATTAACTTTTTTTAATTGAAACATGCACAATATTATAATATTAAATGGGAGCATATGTTTAGTTTATATAACTAAACCAACTCACATTTTTCTTATTTTCCCGATGTGAGATTGTGTAAAATGAAAGCATATGTTTATTTTATATAACTGAAATAATTTACTTTTACTTTTTTTTTTTTCCGATTTAGGATTGTGTAAAATAAAAATTAACAATTGTTTTGGCAGGAAGTTTATTTCGAATCAAATAATATCTGTCGTTTAATCTTTAATTAGGTTAATCTTTAGTTATTTCGAATCAAACAAATCTAACCAATATATTTTGATAAAACCGCTAAGATCGTGGTTAAACTAGCGAATCGGTCAAACAAAAAACAATTCAGCCTAAATCGGTTAGGTTAAATGATCAATCAACTTATACAAAAATAAATTAATAAAAATTTTAAAATTTTATTAAAATTTTAAAATTTTATTTAAATTTTATAATTTAAACTGTCTTGAATTGAAGTATGTATAATACTACAATATTAAATAGGATCACAATGTTTCTTTTATATAAGTGAAACAACTCACTTTTTTTTTTTTTTTTTCCTTTCTAAAATAAAAGTTAATAATTATTTGGACGAGAAGTTTATTTTTAATCAAGCAATCAGTCATTCAATATTTAATCAGGCCAATCTTTAGTTTATTTCGAATCAAACAAATCTAACCAATATATTTTGATAAAACTACTAAAATCTCCGTTAAATCAGCGCATCAATCAAATCGAAAATGATCCAGCCTAATCGGCTAGGTCAAAAGACCAACCAATTTATACAAAAATTAATTAATTAAAACTTTCAAATTTTATTTTAAAATTTAAACTGTCTTGAATTAAAACATGGATAACACCCCAATATTAAATGAGTGTATAAGATTCACTTAAGTGAAACAACTCACTTTTTTCTTCTTGTCTCGATGTGAGATTATAAAATAAAGGGTAATGTTAGGGATACCAAATTTTTTACCAAACAAATGACCAAATGTCTTGTAAGGGTATGGGGTCTGCAATTTTGTGGACCCCACACCCATATGAGACATTAGTAATTTGTTTAGTAGAAAATTTGGGACCTATAACATTTTCTTAAAATAAATCATATCATAGACTAATTAGAGTTTTTATTTTAAAATTTAAATTGTGTTGAACTAAACTATGCACAACACTACAATATTAAATGGAAGCATAAAATTTATTTTACATAAGTAAAACAATTCACTTTTTATTTCTTTTCTTGACGTGAGATTATAAAACAAATAATAAACTAATTAAATTTTTATTTTTCTTGATGTGGAATTATAAAATAAATTATAAGCTAATTGGATTTTTATTTTTATATGATTAAATGGAAGTTAGCCAATGATTTTTTTTAATTATTTAAAATTAAGAAAATTAGTATGAGATATTGCAGTTAACTTGACGAATCACTTAAACATTTAACATAATCAGTTAAGTCAAATTGTAACCAACTTATATAAAAATTAATGAATTAAAACTTTTAAATATTATTTTATATTTTTTTAAAAAAATTTAAACTGTATTAAATTGAAGAATACAAAACAATACAATATTAAGACTCCCTTTATATAAGTGAAACTACTCATTTTGTTCTTTTTTTTTTTTTTGATGTAGGGTTATAAAATAAAAGTTAACAATTATTTAGGTGAAAATTTATTTATAACAAAGCAATCTCAATCGTTCAATCGTTAATCAGATCAATCTTTAGTTTATTTCGAATCAAACAAATCTAATCAATATATTTTGAAAAAATCACAATTAAATCAATGAATCAACTAAATCAAAAATGGTTCATCTTAATCGGATAGGTCAAAAGACCAATCAACTTACACAAAAATTAAGTAATTAAAAATTAAAAATTTATTTCTAAATTTAAATTATGTTGAATTGAAATATGTACAACACTACACTAATTAAATGAGAGTATAAGATTCACTTTATATGAGTAAACATCTCACTCTTTTCTTCTTCTCCCGACGTGAGATTATCAAATAAATCATAAATTTATTAGAATTTTATTTTTCTATGGTTAAATAGAAGCTAATCAATGGAGATATTTTTGCCTTTGTTTGGGATGCAGGTTGACTTTTTGGCTTTTGTCTGGGGCTAAAAAGCTTTGTTTGTGATGTAGTTTTTGACTTTTTTGAGACAAAAAATAAAAGGGAAAATTACATATACCTCCCTCGAGGTTTGACTAAATTACAGATACCCTCTTAAGGTTTCAGAAATTACATCCCGCCCCCTAAGATTTGTATTTTCATAACAATTTGTCTCCTGAGGTTTATATTTCATAACAAATTACCCCCTAATTTGTTATGCAAATATAGCATTCAGGGGAGAATTTGTAATTTTTCAAACCTCAGGGGGTATTTATAATTTAGCCAAACCTCAAGGGGAGTATATGTAATTTGCCCAAAATAAAATGATTATAATTTAAATGTAATATTTTGTGTTATTAAATTTTTAATCTAGTGTCTTTTAGTGACTAAAATATCCTCAAACCAACATCCCAAACATAACTTTTAATTGTTTAAAATTAAAAAAATTAATATAAAATATTAAAACTCTCACAAGACTCCATACTAAGTGTCATTTTGGGAACATAGTAAAAAGTCACATTTTTGGATAAAATGTCCAAAAAACGTGGCTGCGAAAAACGTAACAAAATCCTTTTGGGAATTGCCAAAAACGCAACTCTAAAATTACAAATTAGGGCTTATGAAAAAAAATAAAAAAATAAATCTCTTATGTTGGGTAAGAGTATTTTGGTCATTTTAATTTGATTTGACATCATAAATAAATATTAAACTAAAAAGCAAAAAGTTAGTTTTTTACCAACTTTTCAAATCACTTCTAAAAAAGTCGAAAAGCTTGATAAAAAGTCAAAAGTCAACTTTTTACTAACTTTCCAAAACAATCCTAACAATTCTATTTTCTTTATAAAAAATAGGTGGTAGCTCGAAATGGGTGAGGGTCGAATGGCCCGAAATTTGAAAACCACGTCGTTTTGTGATTTTCTTCTTCTTTTTCGTTGAACTTCGTTGAACACAGGAGAACAGAGGGGAAGAGGAGGAGAGAGGGAGAAAGAGAGAGGAGAGGAGAGAAGAGCTCGTCGCCTCTGCCCGCCGTCCTCGTCGCAGCTCGCAGCTCGTTCGTCGCCTCTGCCCGCCGTCGCAGCTCGCAGCTCGTTCGTCGCCTCTGCCCGCCGTCGCAGCTCGTCGCCTCCGCTCGATCGTGCTTCCGCCCCTCGCCTCCACCTCCTGCCCTAATAATTGGGCCCCCTCCAGTCCTTCTCCTCGTTCCTCCTCCTCCTCTCTCCTCCCTCATCTTCCTCCTCCTCCTCTGATTTTCTACTTCTTCTGAAAAAAAAAAAAAAAAAATGACACCAAAGGGAGGGGATGGACGGAGCTGTGTGTGTGTGTGAGTTTTCCAGAAGGAGGGGATGAACAGAGAAAGGATGGGTGTACAAAGTAATTCGGGCCTTTCGACCCACGCCATTTCGAGCTACGAAATAGAGTTGGTTCTTTATATAATATATAATATACATGTATATATATAAATGGATGGATTACCCTCCATCGCGCGAACATGAATTGGGGATATTTGAGAACGAAAAATGCTTGGGAGCACTAATTAGTGCTCCCACTAATTAGGTGGCAGTGGGTCCCGCCATTAATGATGTGATGTTTTGGTCTTGGAGTTGTGTTTTTTTTTTTTACTTTTTTAATGCATTAGTGCTATTAGTGGTGATATTTTTAGTGGGATGAATCATTGTTGATTTGAGAACTAGTCAAAAGTAATATTTTATATTATTTTTTACATAACAAAATTTTAAAAATTAATTTTTAATCATCTTTTTAAAATAGTCAGGAATATTTTCGTTCGATTTCTTAACGCCCCCGTGCCGACCTACGCTTACTCACGTGTTCCCAAAAGTACCATAATTTATCTTCTAAACCCGACCACCTGTTTCAAAATCCATCACCACCACCACCCACATAATCCTGTACTCGCCGCCCAAATTCGAAACGTGTCCAATCTAATTAAGTTCATGACGTGTCAGTTGTTAGAAGCGAGTACACATTTTGTTCTAAGTGGTTTGAGCGTGTGTCGGTGTTTGAAAATAACGCTCCAACCTCAACGTCGCGACAGCGTAAGATAGCAGACCGACGTAGACTCGACGACGATAACAAAATATTTTTTTTTTTCGAAAAATAAAAAAGATTTTTTGTCTCTTGCGAGTGTGAACCTCTTTTCCACTGTCCTGTTGACCATCGCTTCAGTGCGCGTGCGGTGCTCTCTTTGTCTCCTTCCTCTTATCCTACGCACCTGTCCTCCATGAGTGTCCACAGTGAAAACGAAGGCCAGCCGCTTTCATAGCCAAGCCTTTTCAGCTACCTATGGCAGAGCCTAAAACTGGCCTATTTCAATTTCTAGGGTTACAAACAAATAGTAAAGAAAAAAGAAAGATTATCAAACCAGTCTTCTTCGTCTCTACTTGCATTGTGCATTTCCTGGGTCTCTCACTCTCTCTGTGACTGCGTGTTTCAGAATATGATTCTTCTTTTGCATTGCTTTTTGTCTGTGATTTGATTTGATTTTGTTCATTTTCTATCTCCTCTTGTCACTGTTGCATTGTACTGTGGAGTGGTTTTCTGTCCAGGCTTTCGCAGGCTTGTGTTGTGTGTTGTTTCCGCGAAAGTTGTTGTCCTACTACGAGGAGAGAGCATTTGCATATGCAGTACACGGCATTACAGTTGGGGATTCGATCATCGATAGTAGTAGTAGTAGTAGTGGTGATGTAGATTGGAGCATTATTCGATGACGGTTTTAGATAGAAATGAAGAGAGACAGCAAGGCTTTAGCTAAAATATCTGAGTGTCTTTAACCCAAATTAGGGAATTGCAGAGAGTGCTTCTTTTGTGGAAATTAGGACTTATTTATGGATTTTGTGGGGTATTTTTTTTCATTCTCGACTATTCAATCTGATTGATTAGAAGAGGATTTCAGTGTTTTGGGTCTAGGGTTTGAGATCATTTGCATTGTGTTGTTGGAGCCATGAATGAGAGTGCAGGGAAGAAGGGTTCGTCTCTGGCCGTAGTGGAGAAGCGGCCTCATAAGCCCGGGGGCTGTGTTGGTATCTTCTTTCAGCTCTTCGATTGGAATCGGAGGTTCGCCAAGAAGAAGCTTTTCCCTAAGAAATTGCTTCCTCCAGGTTAGTCTCCTAAAATCAAATTGAACTATACCATTGTTGTTCCAAGGATACACAGTCACATAGAGATTGTTGTATGGTGAAACTCAATAAAAATGGTTGATTCTCGTTTTTTTGCATGTGTTAGCTTGTCCAAAACAAGCTCCTGGAAAGTTTGGCGGAGACGACAAGTTGCCCAAGCTTCGTTTGGTATGCATTTCTTTTCCTTCCAGCTTCGTTTTCATGTCTCTGTTTCATTTGACACCTTTTTCTTTTTTAAATTCATTTTGGCGACTTTTGATTTGTATGGATAATAGATTGCCAATGAAAACAGTGGGGGTTTCCCAAATGTGAAGAAAAACGGGACTTGTAACGATGATCCTAACCAAAATCCTGGAATCCGACCTCCGGGTTTAGTTGCTAGGCTTATGGGTTTGGAATCTATGCCGGCTGTACAACAAGATAAGTCAAACAAAGTTTTATTATCTGAAACTGGCAATGATAAAGGAGTTAAATCTATGAATAGTCATAGTGGGTTTGATGAGGAAGATCGGAATTTGGAGAAGCTAAGTGCGAAACATGAATTGAGGCCTCAAAAGCTTCAGAAGACGGGATCTTTGGGAAGACAGCCACTCAGTAGGTTTGGAGCCGAGGCATTGCATTTCAAAAGTGTTTTGTCACGATCAAGAAAGCATCATCATCCGAAACTCGTATCTCCAGTGAAGAGCCCAAGAATGTCTTCTGGAAGAAACGCATCTCGGTTGATTGATGTTGCTGCTAGAATTTTGGAGCCTGGGTTGCAATCTACCAATAGAGCTAAATGTGCTCTCACTTATTCGAGTACTACACATGATACTCCCAACCGTAAGGTTATAATGGAGGGAATGATGTCCCAGTCGCTGGACCCATCAAAAAATTCCAATTTTCATGCGACTACGGCAAAGTCATTGAAAGGGCATTCTTGCAAAAACTGCGGTAGTTTGCTAGATGTGGACTGCGGCCCAAATTTGGAGAAACAGTCATTACCATTTGGTTCCTGTGTCTCAAATTATGTCAACCCTTCTTTGCAAGGGATAGAAAGGAGTAAGCCTGGACCAGCCATGTCCTCCCTTGAGCAAGAAAAAGAGCGAATTAGAGAGAGAAGTCAGGAGCAATCTGTGGCTCTCACTGCCCCAGCAAGGAACAATATGCGAATTCATGCTGAAGCCATTGCTAATAAAAAGCCTCCTAATCGAGAAGGTCAAATCCAGTGGCACTGGGCAAGCCAACAATGCAAGTCGCAAAAGGATGTGCCATCTTCTATTGCTTTTAGGCCCAAGACTCAAAGGCAAAATCAGGTATCCCTAGGCAGGGATAGAGTTCCACTAAGATCAAATTTATGTAGTGTTCGTACTAACAGAGTTTCATCTTCTTCAAATACTATTAATGAGACAAAAGATTTTGTTGCTTTAAATCGAAGTCTTAGTCGAACCCAGTCAAGAATGCCTGTCAAAGTGGATAATTGCAGATGTGATGCAGAGAGGAAGTCTTGTAACAAGCGAGATGGTTCTTTATCCCCTGTACGGAAGAGGAGGTCAGTAAATGAAAGTTCTGGTTTTGCCAGCTCCACCTTTGCAAAACAAAGAAATGTTAGGTGCAATGCAATGACTGGAAAGGGTATTGGACTTGATGCTCACTCTGTGAATTGCACCAGCAGTAGGAGCACAACGGTTCGTCCGGGAGATAGTAATATAAGCGGTGGCAATAAGGACAATGATGTTATTTGTTTCACGTTTAATTCACCCATGAAGCAGAAGATTGAAAGTGGCGGCATTACTCGTAATACTGCTCAGAAAATTTCCATTTCGGATAAAAGTGAGAGACAGATGAGCTCTGAGAAAACATTCCCATTGAGTGGAGATGCATTAGGTGCTCTTTTAGAACAAAAATTTAAGGAGTTGACTTGTCAAGAAGAGGATGAGTTAGCAACAGGAGGTACCCGACCAAGTAGAACCACTGCTGTGATTCTCCAAGAGCTAATATCTGCCTTAACTACAGAGAGGCCAGTCTCTCATGATGGTGTGGCTGTTGGATCTAACGAGGAAAATGTTTCATGTCACAGTGGTCATTTGTTGAACACAAAACTACCTTTCCAGGTTAGTTGCTTGTCCTTTATATTTGCATATGAACTTTGGATTCTTTAAACTCTTGGCAAGTTTGTAATTTATGATGAATGGTTTCCACAAAATTTACTTTGGAGGTGCTATATTTCCTAACTTGTACATGACTTTACACATCATAAATTGTATAAAAAGTATTTTGGTTGGTAAGCCATTAATCTAGCATGGTACATGTTTCTCTCTCTCTAGCTTCCTTTTTTTTTTTTTTTCTTCTTGATATTGAATTTTAATTAATGTAAATGTGATAAGAACTATTATTAGCATGCCATTTGTGTTGGTTCAAACCCAATCATGCGTGGACGCACACACTCATGGCACAAAGAATTTACGTGGTTTGGCACATGCCTACCACGTCAACTCTTAAACTAGTGCAGGAGTATGAACTGTACACTATTCTTTCTACAAGTCCACCCACTCCCTCACACCCTTGAACTCCCATAAGTTTTCTGTAAAAAGGCATAATCCAGAAATCCTAGTCCTCCATATAGTTAGAAAAACCCTATACTTGTTGAATCATTAGATTCTGGACCCCACAACTCGATCCAAATGCATCTACACTAGGCCAATAATTTTTTGGGCTTGCAAAATACAGGACACACTCAACAACTGACTTCTTATACATGTTGCCTTCTTAGATGTGTACGTGCTTCTTAGCAAGATACCCTATGTTGTTTGTTCCATTCTAGTTTGGTTGATTTATGGTAGATGTGATAGGCTTCAAATGAAGTATGGGACCAACCTATATTCATTTTCATTTGTTGTAAGGTTATCAAATGTCTGTCTTTGAATATGAAATTTAAGGACCTCTGTAATTGGATTTGATGGAGATTCACAAATGATGGCTTTTTTATTGATGCAAGATACCTTATAGATGAGTTAGTTCACTTTGCTTTTATATAGAAGAGGTTCATGGTATCCTTTTTTGAGGACTTTGAATACAAGCACTTGTTTGGGAATTAGTTTCCTATCTGGTATTATTTGTTAAACTTTTTCTTGGAGACATACTGACGTTGGCTTGTACCTGGACTTTTGTTCTTTCTAGCTCCTTTTCATCATTGTTCTGATTTTTTGATTTAGTAGTGCTCTAAAATTGGTTATATGGTACGACTGGTTGAGTTGTACATTACCAAACATTTCAATCAAAGGAGTTTAGTTTTGGTTTTGCTCTCTCCAGGCCAAAGTGAAGAAAATTGGGGCTTCACTTGGTTATTTATGTGACGGTGATCATCTTAGCCCAGGTTCTGTTTTAGAAGCTTCTTTTTCAAACGACAGCTGCTTGTCAAGCAGTGTGGATGATAGCTCAGGTATGGGATTGAAATTCTGTGTTACCCGGTGATTGTCATCATCCTCATCATCAATTTGCTTGGTTAACATGTATATTTTGATATTATTTGGAGTTTCTTTTTGCTTGTTTAAACTGTTCTTATTGATACGTCCCTATATGATTCCAATTCCAATTCCAGTACCTTATCTGCATCCTGACTCAGTGGATTGTTCCTATGATGGACCGCAACCATTAGAATCTGATGCAGATCTTTTGGATTCTGCAACCTCATTAAGCAAAGGGTGGAATGGTTTTCAGTTGGTGACTGATCTCCTTAGCCATATTTCTGAAGTATTACACAGCGCCAGCTTTGCCGACACTGGGCTGAAGGGAGGCAAGCTGGTCCACGCAGAGGAGGTCATCTTGAACGCTGAACTGATCTTTAGAAATGCAGCTCTCCGAAATTCAAATGGAAGTATTGATTTTTCTATAACCCAGTTTCTCATTTATGAACTGGGGACTCTTGCAAGTTTTTTGTGGGCTGATTTCGGTCACTTTCTCGGTGTTGAGGACACAAAAGATTGGAATCAGCTCAAGGAATTTCTCTTTGATTGCGTGGTAGAGTATTTGGGTTCAAGATACGGTCTACACTGTAAACCTGAATTCAGGGCACGGTCTAGATTACCATTATGCATGACTGCTGATATGCTGATTACCGAGGTTGTTGAGGAGGTTAGAAGGTGGACACACTTGGCTGGGAAGATCCCAGATGAGATAATTGAGATGGAGATGAGTCATTCTTTAGGGAAATGGACAGATTTTGAGATCGAAGCATATGAGACTGGTGCTGAAATTGACAGGGACTTGCTGCAGATAATGGTGGATGAAATTGTGGAAGACCTCTGTGAGGGCAAGCTGGGTTTCTCTGAATCGGATACAGCGCCTTCTAATTTTTGAGCTCCTTAATGCTGGGTGGCAAGCTACAACTGATTCCCCTACTCTGATGGCATTTCTCTAGCTTTTGTTAATGAGATGGGATTGTATTTTTTCATTTTTGTATAAATCTTTAGATTCACTCTGGATGAATTTCAGATAGTGATGTTTATTAATGGAAGGATAGTGACGGTTATTAGTGGAAGTTATTTAATTCTGTAGACAAGCATTGTACTTGCAATCATAGACTGTTATTTGATTACTGGTAGTTGCATTTTAAAGCTCATTTGTGACGACCAACTTTTGTTTCACTATATTCCAAACAAGGGAAATTCTACTATAACACCCCATGGTATGCATCCTTAAGATATGTCATTTTTTTTTAGTTATGATTATTTTTTTTCTTTAGTTACGATTTATGAGATTTTTGATTATATCTCCTGTGCTGTTTAGTTATGATTATTTATTTATTTATTTTTAATTATGATTCAAAAAATATGAGGCTGTGTTTAGAAGGGTTTTGGAATTTTAGTTTCGCCTTTTAGTTTGTATATGACGTTTGTTTGCAGCTTTCAAAAATTAATACCACGCTCACTTTTGAAAACTTGGTCGAATGCGAGAAAATTTGGGCTAACCGGCAATCCGGCCGGTTGACTGGAACAGTACAAATTTTTTTTTTTTTACAATTGACACATGTTAATTTATATATATTCGAAAAAATATTTTTCAAATTTTTAAAATTTTTTATGAGCTTTAATAGAATTTTGTGTGGTGTGTTTGGTTATGAATTGTAAGTTTTTGTATCAAATATCATATGTCATATCAAAAATTTCTTACTCAATTCAAAACTCTTTCACCAAATAAATTTTTCACACTCAAATCATAATTCCAAAATTTATAAACTCAAAATACAACTCTTACTCTTAAATCATATTTAGAAAGCTCTATCAAATACTACTTAAAATTTTCTTATTTTCTTATTTAGTTATAAGATTTATATAGTCTTTTCCTTCACACTAATAATTCATATTCTATTGATGTCAGATAAGGCAGTACTCTTCACCCAAATTTGCAATGTTCTTGTTGTGTCGCATGGTTTATTTCATTTATCTCCCAACTCTAATGCCATTTGTCATGACACAAGTAGTCAACTGACATAATTAAAAGGGTTAAGTTTAAGTTGTTACCCCACTTGATTTATTATATTTTAAAGTACTAATTCATATTTGACTTGAGGTAGAATATCACATCCTATTAGGATCAAAATTGGTTTTTATTATGTTTGGATGGTGGAATTCTATGCACTACTCTTGAAACATGAGTGAATGTGGTGTTCCAAATTGATTGTGTCATGTAAAATGATAAATGAGGTCGACTTCATCTTTTGCATGATTAATTAAAATAATTTAAACTGATTTCATTCATTCTGTCATTAATATACTATATAAACGTGATGATGAGTTAGTATTTTAAGATTAGTGAATGCTCTCTATAAATTATAAAACGTACTGAGAAAAAAAAAATCAAAGATTATGGCTTTATTACATCCTCTGAATTGGTGTGTTTGATTCATTCAATACAAAATGAGCAACCTGTGGCCTCATACTGTAGCGAACTCAGGGCAGTCTAATTAGGAGCCATTTGGAAAGTACTGATATGGCCGTCCGGTGTGAAACTTTTGTCAAAGAATTCCCAACAAAAGAGTCCTTTTTATGAAAAAGAAATGTACCTAAAGAAATGCAATGCAACACGATCCTTCCGATTAGTGTCTTTTTCCTCTAAAGATATTGGAGGAAAAATCATTCAAATCACACGGTTGACATGGAATCCAATGTATGATCCTAACCTTTTTGTTTGGATCCCCAAGGGACCCACCTCAAATAAGAACGTTGGAAGATATATAGAAAATAGTTAGAATAGGGCAAATTGGCCATATAGGCCCAAGCAGCATACAATCTTTTTTTCTCGCTGCTCCTCTCTTCTTTTTATTAGACCGTTGTGAAATCAAATTCTTTTTTATAAGCTAGACAAAAACTCTGCGACGAAGAAAAACAGAACAAAGCTTCTTCAGTTTCATCAACAATGGCAGGGGCTAACGGAAGCTCTCTGTCGCAAACCTTCCAACAAAAACAAACCCTCGACTGTCTCTTCACTTCCCTCGATCCCAAATCTCTGATCCTCTCCCAATTCGGGAACGATCAAAAACCCAATCTTCTCCAACTCACAACAGAGAGCTTCGTCATGGAGAGAGGACCCAGGTACAAAGCCTACGCCGAGTTGAGGGAATCAAATCTGAGAAAGAAGAACATCGGACAACAACAAACCAAAGAACACGAATCGAATCTATCTCCACCGAAGAAACAAGTCAAAATTCAGGGCAACTTTCCGGCAACACCACCGAATAAGCGAAGAGGGTCCTCTGTTGTGGCTCAATCGGTGCCCGATTTCTCGGCGGCATTGAGGAAAGAGAACAGGAAGCCGGCGAGTATGTTGCCACCGTTGATGGAGAAGTCGTTGACGCCTCCGGCGGTGAAGAACTCGAAGCTATATGGGTTGAAATCGGGGGGAGGGAGTAAGTCTGCAAATTTGGGGGAGAAGAGGAATGGTGGATTGATGGGAAGGAAGAGCTATGCGAGTATGGAGGAATTGAAGGGGTTGTCATCGGCTGCTGCGAATGCAATTAATGGAGAAAACAGGGGAGGGAGAGGTGGAAGAGGGGTTGCCAAGACTGTTCTGGGTTACAGACAGTACTGAATTTCATTGTTTGGTTCCATCTTCAAATTTGTTAAAGATTTTCTGTTTTATTATCATTATTATTTTTTTGGGATTGAATTTGATTCTTTTATTTTTGTTTTGAGTTCTCAGAGAGCGTTTATGAGATCTCTGTTTTCGGGTTTCCTTCAGATTGTAAAGCTTTCATTTGAGTCTGATAATAATAGTATACAGAAGTTGTTTTATGCTCTGCTTTTCTAATCTTCTTCTCTTGTAGAGATTTCGGTGAAGAAGTTTTTTCTGTTTGATTTTCTCTGTTTTTTTTTTTTTAGTTGGACTGTGCTTGTATTGATTGCTGTATTTACAAAAAGGATTCAAATACCTGAAATTTCTCATAGTTCTTAACTCATGGTCTAAGTTTATTGTTAATTAATGGGCTTAGCATCTTCCAAGTTCCAAGCATGATTCATTTTTTGACAAAAAACCAAAAATAATAATCATAGAGCATTCTCTTTTAAAATGATATGAATTCAAATTCCTAGAGCGCCAAATTTCAAACCATGGTGACACTTGCGGAACTGGAGACCATCCTTCCATGTAACATCGGATTGGTGTAAAAAATATTTAGATGGATTAGATTTTTTAAAGGTAAATTTTACGAGTTTTATAAATCTTGTGCAATTGAGTGCTCGTGATAGAACTATTAGTGAATTGGGTACCTCCTCCGTCCACCTGAACAATAGGTGAGCCACAGTAGTCAATCAAACCAATGGATGGTTGATTAGGCAGTTTACCTAGAGCTCCAGCCTGATGGGAATTTTTTGTTTACCAATCCTTTGGAACATTAGAGGTTCTCAGGACTCGTTGGAGGTGATTTCTGGCAGGCGGCCAGAAGCGTTCAAAGGGGGATCGCTGATGAGGATGGTCAGAGGTGGTGGCCAAAAATGGGAGGTGAAGCAAAAAAGTGCTCAAGTGGTAAATAGAATACAAAAAATGAAAACACAACCAAACAATGCCTATCCTCCCAATTTTGGAGAAGCAAAAAAGTTCTAAAATTGTGAATCTTCTCTCCAATTTACAGCCACTCCATACACTTTCCCTTTCCTTCTTAAGAACAATACAAACAAACAGGGACTAAATAGTTCAATTGAATGGGCAAAAATACACCTTTTTTTTTCTTTCTTATTCTTCCTTCTTTTTTTTTTCTTTTCTTTTTTTTTTCTTGAACAATATAAAAGCACACTTCTCAAACCCTTGCCACAATGCCTCTGTATGGATTGGTCTAAAAGCTAAAACATTGCTTTTTGAAAATAAACACGAAGTCAAAAAATAGAGAGACAGAAACAATTCTAAAAAATGTCATGCAATTACAAGGTCACGTGTCCTTGTTGAGTGAGCTGCCACAAACTGAATTTTCATAGTTTGAAGACCTCACTTGCAAGGTTAAGTGGCACCAAAAACAGAAAATGTGTTAAAATAATGAAATAAAACAAGGTACAAGGTATTAAAATACAAATTACAATAGCAATCAATATTCAATAGTACTTTGTCTTACAAGAACTCTCAACATTACTTGAAACATATGTATGAGCCTCTCACCTGGGAGAGTATATGATGACATAACTCATCTATGGCCTTCTTTACTTGCTTTTAGAAAACTTTGGGAGTGATAATCAAACCTTGTGATACTTATATTTCTGCTCCAGATTAAATCTAGTGGTACTGCTGTTGAACCCATGGAGTACCAGATTCCTCACTGCATCAACCCCTTGTTGCAGTGCTTCATCCACCTGTCCAGAAAGCCCATAACAATTGGTGTTTTATCATATTCACAGAACTTTCACATACGAGAGAGAGAGAGAGAGAGAGAGAGAGAGAGAGAGAGAGAGAGAGAGAGAGAGAGATGCACATGCACAATCAAGCAATCATGTCATAAATTTATTTTAGATTTATAAAAACCATTTCAACGCACAAATCAAGCTATCACGTTGCAAATTTCTTTGATGTCGTCACATTGATAAAGCCATTTCAACCCTCAAATCGATAGTCTATCCTCAATTGTGTCTGACTCACACAATCATTAGAGGAAACATAATTTATCGTCCACAAAAAAGGCAGCAAAGAACCCTACCAATGATGTTCACTAACAAAACAGAGCCTTGGTTTAAAAACATCAGTACAACCAAGCTCCAAAAAAAATCAAGATTATATCTTACTAGTTCCCGTTCTAACGAACTGAATTTCTGGAGAAGATAAGCTTTCATATCCATATTACCAGGTGGATTTCCAATGCCTACAAGTACAGAATTATTAGAATTTGGAGACAACTACGGTTGACAACTCTGTAACTTCAAGAGAAAAATATCGGCAAAAGCAAACTATAATATCCAAGAAACCAACCTATGCATAACCGTGGAAATTCACGGCAACCATCCAAATGGTCCATCACACTCTTCACTCTGCCATAAGAGATCAACAATTACAATCAACTTTCTGTCAACCAAAAGCATCTAATTGATTTCGAAATATTATTAAGTTTAGATAGGTCTAAGGCACCCCAAGGATCAAGGCGGTGAAAAAAAATGACGAGATTTCATCGTTAATGTGCCCCTTTCTAATATAGCAAAGTTAACAATTTCCAGTTGAGGGCACATAAAATACAAGGATTGATCAACCTGCCTACAAAAAATAAATAAATAAAAAGATTGAGCAGTAAGAAATATGATAGAAAAATACAATTGTCAATTACAGCAGGAAAGGCAAAATATAAATCATGCAGCCAACCCAAATAACTAACATGATGGTTATATAACTATGTATGCATATGACAGGTTAAGCAGCATATGATATGACACAGCTATTTTCTTGGAAAAAGTATAGCCTCAATGGAGCAGAGTGTTGCTAGATCCGCCTCGTTTGGGAATAGGCTATTTTAGAAACTTTTTGGCTAAAATATCAGGTAAAAAAAAACTAGTATGTTTGGAATAACTTTTTGATTTTTTACAAAAAGATGTGCAAAAAGTAGAGAGAAAAGAGAATCTTTGACTTTTTGGTATGGGTTATAGGTTTTTTGGTTTTTTTAATGACTTTTTGGCTTTTAGGCTAAAAGTGTTGTATGCCAAACAAGGCCTAGCAGATTGTAATTAGTTTTACTGTAATCCATGTTGACAAACTAGATAATTGTCCTCAAATCTTTAGATCATTCTTTTCTTCTTTTTCAGCAGATACTTTAGATATTTCTTTGACTTAGTGAAGTTCATTGTTTTACTACAAGCATTATCTAGGGAGCAATACCCGTTGTGATGGCCATGCCCTCCTTTTGGCTGAAGCCTCAAAACACCATTTGGTAGGCTCATATCATCATAAACCTACATTGAAATTACCCAAAAAAACATGTATTTTAAGCAACGCTGAACAAGTATTGATTAAAGGCATGTAATTACATGTTTAAAACTATACATGCTCTGAAATTGCATACCAATAGGATATGACGCAAGGGCACTTGATAATATGCAGCAAGTGGTCCAACCTTGACATGACAAAAAAAGAGAATGATAGTCAGAGACCGTTGAAGGATACCTTAAGAAAGCAAAGAATTGTGGGGGGGAAAATGTTTATGACAATAGTATAAGAGAAAAAGGAGAATTTAGGCATATAGACATGAAAAATAAATAATAAAAAAAAGCATTTTATTATTTGATATGAAAATTATGTCCAAATCAACTGCAAGATGATAATTGTGAATGTATGTCGATAACTGAGTACTCACTGCTACAAGCATATAATTTCTCAAGCTTGATGAAAGCCAATGACCTAAGAAGCATGGACACGGACACGTGACACGACACGGACACGCTAACACATTAATTTTCAAAAAATGAAGGACACGACACGTAGAGGAACGCGTGAAATATGTAATTTTATATATTTATTATATGTTATATATATTAATATATCATTCAAAGATAATAAAAAATGCAATATGACACTAATTCTTATAAATTTATATTATTTTTGTTTTATTATTGTATCTTAAGTTATTTTGCTTAAACTTATAATTAGTTTCACATGTATCCAATCGATAAACACGTGTGTTTATGTGATTGACATGTGTGTCTTCCAAGTATCCAAAGAGTGTTCGGCTGTTTAAAAAAATTTAAAAATTAGGACACGTTTTGAAGAGTATCGGACATGTGTCCTAAGAGTGTCCAAAGAGTGTCGGTGTCCGACACGGACACGACATGAATACGTCACCTTCTTAGAAGTGTCCGTGCTTCTTAGCTAATGACTTAATATTAATAACAATAAATTACGCGTTGCATTAATTATTGAGAACCCAACCTTGCCTACCAAAAAAAGGAGAGAAAAGAATAAAAAGCCCAATGCAAAGTCGAATCATTATAAAACCCCTAAGCAAGACCCCCTAATGCTAAAAGAAAAGGGAATGGATGTGGCTTGATAGTATTCTCCTTTAAATCGACCACTACCATGAAGGAAGTTTGCATAATACATTAAGCTTAATCTAATAGAAGTTCAATAGATGAAGTAGGCAGAGACCTCTCCATAAGATGAAATGCAAACACAACTATAGTAGATCACTGACCAGCATTTCATGTTTCATACAATTAGATGCCTTGTCTAGAGGATATATACTCGAGTCATGGAACAAGTCATTTTCCCTGACATGCTTATTAGTTGGCAGCTAAGAACTCAAACTCGGTGTCGATCTGTTTCGACAAATATTTGTTTCCACAGAGACATTTTTGTTTCTTGAAAATTCTTCATATATATTTGTGAGCCTACCCTTTAACTCAACAATTCGTGCAGATGGCTTTCACCCAATAACTCACCACATTGTTCAACATTTGTACTTTTTATTTTGAAGAAACCCTGTAACTTATCCAGGAATAAGTCAGCTAGTTATAGAAGTGAAAGGTGAGAACAAACCGATTCTCCACTGAAGTTCATGTAAGCTTGAGGTTTTGCCAACAGAATTGGTACCTCTCCAATAGAACCTGTACTGATTGCATAAAATAAAAAATTATTGTTATTATTTTTTGAATTACTGCTAAAACTTACCATGGGATGCACAAATTTGAACAAAGTAAGATGAGCAAAGACTACAGCCTAATAAGCACCTATTCCAAACAAGGCCTTCGACTGTATTGTGTTCAACAGAATTCCTTGTGCTTGAGAAAGATGATCAATCATTTCAAAACCAACCTAATACACATTTTCAAAAAATTGTTAATAATGGAAAATCATTGGAAAACAAAGACAATTCCTCTTTTACAAAAGCAAACAAGAACAGACAATTAACAAGAGTCAAAACAATTAATTTAAAGCATTTGGGATTTACATTGTGCCGAGTTCCATGATACTTGTTCCCAGGGTTTCCTAAACCAACAATTAACCAGGGAGTATACTCCACTTTAACCCCATCAGGATCTGGCAATGAAGCCAATACACGAAGCCTTGTTGGACCCAAATGCCTTGGATGAAAAATAGGGTTTCTTGGGTAGGAGATGCAAGTTTTAGGGACAGAAAGTGCATACAACATCGAGCTGATTACCAAAAAAAGAAGAAGAAAGCAATAACATCAGTGGGATTTGCAGACTAAGAAGCACAACCATTGAAGGAATGAAATTAAACATACACACATGGGTACAGGTATATGTGATTGTGAAATCTATGAAAATATACAAAATATATATAAAATCATTGCGCGTGTATATATAATTTGCAGGAAACTAATCAAGCACTCACTATGCATTGTAAAATTGGAAAAAGAAAAGAAAAGAAAGGGGAATGGGTAACATGAATAAGAAGGATAAGATGGCTAAAGAAATGGGTCGGCCAATAACTTCCCAGATTATTCAAAACTCATCCAGCTCCGTAATCAAACCCAACAATCAGAGAGAGTGAGAGAGAGAGAGAGTATGTATAAGCAGTTCAATTTTGACAGTTGGAAGCAAAGCAACCAATCATCAGTAAAAGTTAACAGTTAGAGAGTTTAGGAATTTATAAGAGACGCAGGAACCTCGTTCGTTTTCTTGATAGAATCAATCCGAGTCTTGGATGTGCTTTCGATTCTGAAGACGAGCCTATCCAACTCTACAGCCTCGGCTCCTCGTGCTGCCCTCTGTTTGACGTTTGCACCGGATATGGATTCCAAAGTCAGTCTTTTTTTTCTTCTTTTTGTGTGTTAAAAACAAAAAATTAAAAAAAAAATAAAATTAAGCGAACTTCTATTTACGCACTATTTTTCTCTTTTTACACTCATTTTCTATTACATTATCCTCAAAATTTAAAATTTTAATTTATCTTATTACATTTTCTATAATTCTAATATAACTTCATGTCTAATATTTAATCTATTGTTTTTTTTAAGAAACTCGGTTAAAAATTAACTTTTGATTTTTTAATTTTTAACTAACATCACCTTCTTATTTTTTTAAATATTTTTCTAAAAACATTAAAAAATTAACTTTTAACTTATTTCTCAAAACAAGCCAAAACTCCACATTTACTGCCATTACTTTCGACCATCACTGCTAGAACCTTTGATAACCCACACTAGCCCTCCCTAATCCCTCCAACACCCCACCATCGTGACTTATCCACTTTTGATCACTACCCTATCCCATTGTTTCCCACCATCGCAACCATTAGGAGTGCTGATAGATCTGTTCGGTCAGGTTAACCATTCCTTCTCTCCTCAATGCCAGTCCCAAACTCTGCACAGCTTACTACTTGGAGCTGCTTTTTTTTTTTTTTAACCCTAGTTTGTTGTATTTTTCTTCTCTTCTGGAAATTTGTACTTAAAACTGTAACTATTCTTGACGCGTCTGTATGGAAGTCAAGAGTCACGACAATGTTAAACTGGGGATTTCTGAGGTTGTGAGAAAATATCAGGAAGTTTTTTGCTACATGATTGTTTTGTTGAATCTCATAATTACTTGGATTGCAGAGCATTTCACTGAAATAAAGAAAACCAATTTCTCTTATGTAGTTGCAACATAGAATAGGAAGCAAAAGAAAACCAAGTAAAAAAATCCTACACAAAAGGGTTAATACATAGGATTTATGCACCAACAGCAGCAAATCAACTGTTAACACCAATTGTTTGAAAATCCAAGTAAAAATATTTTATCACTTCGAATGTACTGTGTAGATTCTTTCTCCAACAAGATTTCCTATTCTTCTACTTTCATTCTCCATTGCTCCAAAAAATACAAGGGATAACTTGATTTCCTGTAGCTCTTTCTATGGAGCCGGTGATATTTGAAGCATAGTTCAAGCTGAATCTTCCAAACCAGAGATCAACTTCAGATGGTTTGGCAACGGTCACATAGGAAAGCTGCATTTCCACTCACATGACGATTACCTCTACATGTTGGCTTTCCTTTCCCACCTTTCTTTCGTGTCCAGCCTAACAACACAGTATTCAGACAGAGAACTACGTAAGAAACTACAAAACTAAATAAAAATCAAGATTGTGCAAGCACTAACATCAACTTCTAATCTGCCTTGCACATAGATTATCATCATGATTATATTCACATTTGTATCTGAAATTAACACTAGTTTAAAAGGAAGATGATACCCCCAATGTAACTTTTGACGCTTCTTTGTTCCGATATGCACTGCTACATTCTCTTGCTGCTGGGAGAAGGTATCCTTGGTGGTGTTCCCTTTCAAGATGGAAACACTTGAATGATCAGTTTCTTTACTTGAAATTTCCTCTGTAACATCATTGGCATCAAGATTCTTCACACGAGATTTACTATTCTCACCAGATATTCCTACAAGGATTTCCCCTGGATTACACAAAACTCACATAAATTAAAACTATAAATAAATAACAAAAAATTAATTAAATATAATTTCAAAAAGAACCTTTTGCTTTCTTTTTAATCTTTGATTTTGCTTTAATTTGTAGACGCCTCCTGTGCAGTTCCTAACAAAAAAAAAAAAAAACACATATCAGAGACTAATGCAGGACCGGAGGAGAGGAAGCAAGTAAGATAAAACCATAGCTAGGGTGAAGGCTGTAATTAGTACTTCAGATACAAGTGCCATAAACAACTAGAATTTCATAGAACCACAAAGCAGTTAAACCTTTGTTTCATGATACCGCATTCCAACCCAGTTCCTTGGTTCATATGCAATCCCAACCTGAAAAATATCTTTTCACATCCCTTAAACATGACCATAGAAAAACCCTTTGGCATTTCATGATTCTGTTTGACACTGGAATAGTGATTTTGGACCAGAAATGTGGCGGATGGGATTGCATGAATGTTTGTGGAGTACATAGATGAGTGAGCCAAAATGCAGTTGATATTAATCAGTCAAAAGGCTAGTAAGGCAATTGAATAGTAGAATGACAATAAAATGAAGACTACTTGGAAAGGATGAAAGAAAGTGAAGTGTATAATATGACTCCATCCATCAGTTGAATTTCTTTGCACCAGTATCAATTTCATTATTGGTGTATTCGGGAATGGTTTGATCACATTCAACGGAGACCAACAAAGGCAGTATTGAAGAGATATGATACTGCAACGGTAGATGAGAGTGTTAGAAGATGAGATAAGCCTAGATTAACGTTGGCGAGCGTTATAAATGGAGATTGGGATTTACTTAATTTGACTAACAAAATGGCCTTTGATAGGCTTGGTTTGGTTTGGTTTAGTATCAATTTCATTATTGGTGTTATAAAAAATAAAAAAGAAGTTACAGTATCAATTTCATTCTTCGCACCAGTATCAATTTAAAACCACTTCTATGAATACACATATAAACCCAATAAATGTTGCTTCAACTAATGTCTTATCTCCTCCGGTCAAAGTTAGATCACCACATAATTACACCACCATAACAAGAATAAGCCAATCATAAATAAATTTAAAACAGAAAAAGAAAAAAAACACACACATAAGGCGGACTTTAAAAAAAAAAAAATTAGTTTTCATACTCCTCACAAATTGCAATCTCTTTAATCATCTTCCCACACTACTCAAAATCAAGTATAATCTTTGAGGTTCCTTCTCAATGTTCTCATCTTTCTTAATTTTATATCAATTTCTTTTTTCCTTCCAGTAATAATGCAACCATGTGATTCCAGAAATTCAGAAATAGAAAAACAAATAAGTTTAAAAAAAAAAAAAATGAATACACATATAAACCCATAAGAATTGTTAAATTTCAACATTTGATTATTGCAGATAAATGAAATTTGCAGAAAGTGTTAAGTGGGTACTTGGAATTTGGAGAGCTGGGATTGGGAGACCCCATCAGGCTTGAAATTGGGCTGCAAAGAAGCTCTTGTCGCTATTGCTGCTTCTCTCCTTTCGTCTTCCTCTTCGTCTTCCATCTCTGCTGCTCTTCTTCTCTCTTTCTCTCTGTGCTGAACCCTAACCACCGTGTACAACCCGAACCGTATACACTGTAACACTCGAAATGTAGACGATTCACACAATTTTCTTCTCCTTATGACCGGGTTTGG